AGAGAGATGCGGCCTGCCGGCCTGGCGGGAGCGGCACGCGCGGCACGCGGCGCGGTCGGCGGCTCGGCGGCGGTCGCGTCGGCGGGCTCGCGGCTCGGCGGCGCTCGGCGGCTGGCGGCGCTCGGCGGCGCTCGGTGGCTCGGCGCCGCTCGGCGGCTCGGTGGCTCGGCGGTGGCTCGGCGGCGCTCGGCGTCGCTCGGCGGCGGCTCGGCGGCGCTCGGGCTCGCGGCGGTCGGGGCTCGGCGGCGGCTCGGTGGCTCGGCGGCCGCTCGGCGGCGACTCGGTGGCTCGGCGGCGCTCGGTGGCTCGGCGGCGGCTCGGCGGCGGCTCGGTGGCTCGGCGGCGGCTCGGTGGCGGCTCGGTGGCCGCTCGGCGGCGGCTCGGCGGCGCTCGGCGGCGGCTCGGTGCCGCTCGGTGGCGGCTCGGCGGCGCTCGGCGGCTCGGCGGCGGCTCGGCGGCTCGGCGGCGGTCTCGGCGGCGCTCGGCGGCTCGGCGCGGCTCGGCGGCTCGCGGTCGGCTCGGTGGCGCTCGGCGGCGGCTCGGCGGCGGCTCGTGGCGGCTCGGCCCGGCTCGGCGGCGTCCGGTGGCGGCTGGTGGCTCGCGGCGGCTCTGGCGCTCGGCGGCGGCGGGTCGGTGGGTCGGCGCTGGTCGGTGCGGTCCGTGCTCTGTGCCTCGCGCTGGCGGGGCTGGCGCGTCGGTGCTCGCGCGGCTCGTGGGCTCGGCGCTCGGCGGGGTCGTGGGCTGCGGCCGCTCGGGTGGCGTCGGCGCGGCTCGGTGCGGCTCGCGGTGGCTCGTGGCGGCTCGGCCGGTGGCTCGGTGGCGGCTCGGCGTGGCTCGTGGCGGCTCGGCGGCTCGGCGGTCGGCGTCGGCGTGCGGCTCGTGCTTCGGGCGGCGGCTCTGGTCTCGGCGGCGGCTCGGTGCGCTCGGCTGGCTCGCGCTCGGCGGCGACTCGCGAGCGTGCCGGCTCCCGCCAGGGCCGGCAGGCCGCGCCGCGGTGGCAGGCTCTCCGCTGCCTGCACGTTCCAGTCAGAGAGCGCCGAAAGTGGGCTTCTGTCGCAGAGCTCTGGTGCTGGCGGGGCCTGCGGGGCGTCCGCGGACCTCGGGCCGCTCGCCTTGCAGAGCACGCCTCCCCGCGGAGTGCTCCTGCGGCTGCACCGCGAAGAAGCTGGGTCGCTTCGCCTGGGGCCACCAAAGCCATTGGGGACACGGTCATTCCCTCTCCGTCAGGACAGGCTTGGGGCTCCGAGTCCACTGCCCCTCAGTGGCACCCAGGCCCACTCAATGCTAGCTCTCTCATTTTCTTTCTCTCCTTAACAACTCCTCCCCACTAAGCGCAGCCCAGGGCCCCTGTCCGGCGCGCGGGGGACGCGGTGGCACTGGCTACGGCTGATGGCCCAGTCGCCCAGAGCGCCCGAACCCAAGCTCCGAGCGGGAAACTCAGACTTCGCTGCCTTTGTTCCCCAGCCCCTTCCTCACACCTGCCCTGAGGAGATGGCCAGGCCGGCCTCTGCGCCCCTGGCCAGAACGCGGCGGTGGAGGGAGTGGGGACCCCAGCTCACGCTGCACGCGTCCCCACCACGCCGGCTTTACACGATGGGCACGCAGGTGTGGCCTCCGGTGTCCCAGTGCTCGGGAAGCCCTGACCGCCCGCGGTCCGACCGTGGCTGGCCCTGAATCATCGCCGGCGGCGGCGTGGGCTTGTGGCACGCGCGCATTACGGCTGGCTCGGGCGGCAGCAGGCGCCGGCCACCACGCCCTGCCCGCGCGCCCTCTCCCCGTGCGCCGGCCACCACGCCCTGCCCGCGCGCCCTGTCCCCATGCACCGGCCACCACGCCCTGCCCCGTGCGCCGGCCACTACGCCCTGTCCCCATGCGCCGGCCACCACGCCCTGCCCCGTGCGCCGGCCACCACGCCCTGCCCCGTGCGCCGGCCACCACGCCCTGTCCCCGTGCGCCGGCCACCACGCCCTGCCGTGCGCCGGCCACCCACGCCCTGTCCCGGTGCGCGGCCACACGCGCTGCCGTGCGGCCGGCCACTACGCCCTGCCCGCGCGCCCTGTCCCGGTGCGCCGGCCACACGCCCTGTCGTGCGCCGGCCACACGCGCTGCCGTGCCCGGCACTACGCCTGCCCGCCCGGTCCCCCGTTGGAGCGGCCACCACGCCCTGCCCGCGCGCCCTGTCCCCGTGAGCCGGCCACCACGCCCTGTCCCCGCGGGCCGGGCCTGCCAGGGTCGGCAGCGCGGCTCCTGGCAAAGCCCGCCAGTTCCCTCAGCACCGTGGCCGCCAAGGGCCTGTGTTTTCTCCGAGACGCGGGCTTGAGAACGGCCCCGCGGTCTGGCACACACTGCGTTCTCAGAGCGAAGAGGACAGGGAGGCGCCGCTGCTCTCCGCCCGGCCCGCAGCCCGCCGCTGGGCATCAGGCCACGCGAACGCACACCCCGAAAGGGCCTGAGGACCATCTAATCCAAGCCTTTCCTTCCCCAGGGAGGAAACCAAGGCAGAAAGAACACTGCCCACCGCCCTGCCGCAGCGCGCCTTCCCTCCGCTCGCTCACTTCCTATGGGTTTTGCCTTCCGCTGAGCTTTCAAAGACCCCGTGGGCTGGGTTTGTCTTATTTTAGAAAATCAGTAACCGCTGCCCTTCGTGACTGAGCGGCCTCAGATCTGGACCGGCCTAGACGGCCCTGTCGTGGCCAACTTCGGCGAAGGAGCTGGGCCCCGAACTAGGTCCGGCTCGAGTCGCGGAGCCGGTCCCATCCCGGTCAAGGCGCAGGTGAGTGCTCAGTAGCCCGGCGGAGAGCCTGCATCCGGACCAGGGTGCTGAGGGGCACCCAACAAAATTTTGTGTCCCAGTAGTGGGTTTCACAGTGGGTAGTGACAATCCAAAGAGAGTCTCTCTCTTGGAAAGGTTTGCACACAAGCCGCGCTTAGGAGTGGAGGTAGAACGTGATGGAGGAAAGATGCTGAGTCCAAAGAGGGAAGGGGCAACGGCCACCAGCTTATGAGCAGGAGCAAGACGAGCAGTGCCTCGGTTCCAGCTGGGTGGCTGAGACCAGGAAGCCTCACCGTGGGGCTGCCCAGGTGGCCACTGACTTTCTTCCCTCCGTACGTAACTGAGGGACCCTCCCCTCACCACCAACGTCTCTGTCCCTCACAGCCTGAAATAGCAGCACGATTACAATTCACATTTCTGATAACCGAAATGTTAGCTCTTGTGACACTGGGGTTTTATTTTATTTTAATGACAATATTTCTAAAGAATGCACTTGACTCTCTTATAACCTGCTGTGCCCACAGCCTGGCTCATGGGCGATGCTCTCTGGGCGACTTGGTTCATCTCTTGTTTCCTCGGCCCCAGCTGTGCACTGCCCTTACCTACCCACCCCAACCCCGTTAAACATGTTCTCTTAACTCTTCTCCCTGACTTCTTTTCTTGTTCTTCCATCTACCTTCAGCTGTGATCTCCTTTTCTACAGAGAAAGCTGAACTTTACCATTATCGACACTTTTGACCAAGAGAAACGGGTTCTTTCTCGTGGTACATTTTGATCCACACGAAGAGAACCCAGCCAGGCCCCATGTTTTGTGCGCTCTGCCGTGACCGTCCCAAAGTCTGCAGGGACAAGGGAACATGGCAACTCAGAGCCCTCACCCCACCCCCTATCTCAAACGCGATCCCCACAATCCCTCACTCCCATGACCCGGCCGCCAGCTTCTAGCGCCCCGCCAGCTTCTTCCCTGGGCTCTTCCTGCAGGGGAGACCACAGTGCCGGCCTGTGCATCCCACGGCCCAGGGCGCGGGGGCCAGGGGCGGCGTCTGAGAGAAGAACGGGCAGAGCAGGGACACTGGACTGGGTGCACACACAGGCGTAGGCCTCCTGGGCAGCTAGGGCCAGCTCCTCCTGCGTGGCCATGTTCTGGGATGGGAACTTGAGGGCTGAGAACGCCGAGTCCTCCCAGGCCATTAGGCATATTTATCCACTTAGGAGGATAGAACATATTTTATTCAACAGTTCTTAGATTGATTTATGACTTTAAAATGAGAAAATGCACTACAAGGCTTGTAACTTGTAACTCTTGCCCCAGACCTTGTGAATAGGAGGGTAGGCCTGGACTCGTGTATTAGTTGCAGTTTTATTCACCTAGATTTGTCCTCTCTTTTCCCATAAAGACTCACAAATTCTCCTGAAATAAATTAAAGGAGATTAGAGTAGCTTGTTTGGCCTGGACTCGAGATTAAAACGCATAAGCAAACTTCCACCAGGAACTCTATTTGCAGATTTCCTCTGCCTCTCCAATTCATCAAACCTAAGTTCTCAAAGTCCAGATATTCCAAAAGCAACTTTTAAAGGACTTCTTTATACTTAGGTTGCTGAGCTTATCTGAAGTATGACTAACTCCACAAGTGCATACTCAGGGAATTCTTTCCCATCCTGCTGATGACTCAGAAGGACCCGATTTGCTCTAATGAATTTTCTTGATCTCACAAAAGTAGTGCATGTATTCTGTACTGCAGACTCTGGGTTGAGTGCCCTTGCACTGGTAGTGAGTTTATCCACTATAACGCTTACTCTCCAAGTGGAAGCGAAGCCTGCTAGTTTCTCATGACATGCATTATTAGGTACTCACAGGAAACAGCAGTTTGCCAATTGGAAAAAGTTATTGCCTAGTGTCACTCTGGGAAAAGTGTTCCTGTGACCTAAACTTACACTTAAGAGTAGAATGGCTAAGAAAAACTTTTATTGATATAGAAGTGTGTGAATACTGAGTTTTTATGCCACCAAGCTCTTTTGAATTTGCAATAACATCATTAATAGACAGACCTTTGCAATCCATCTGCCATATTTTTAAATTATAGACACACATGTATTTGGTGTGATTATTTTAAGTAGTATATAGGAGGCTCTAAAGAAAGTATTTCCTCTGACTGAAGAAGGCTTCCTTCTTCCTCATTTCTGAAATGTATCTCATGTCCAAATATTGAAGGTTCATTCTGAAAATAATGAACATGCCTTTATCTTAACTGACTTTAGAAAAGTGAAAGAAATCCTTTCAGTTTGGGGGAGCCAGTACAAAGTCAAGCATGCTTGAAATTCAATTCTGGCCAGCCCACCAACTAACTATAAAACCTCAGGAAAAGTACTTAAATTTCTGTAAGTCTGTGGCCTCATCTGTCAAATGGAGGTAGTGATACCTACTTTATTATTTTTTTCTAAGAATTAGATAATAGCAGACATGTAGAGTTTGGCACGGTGCCTAGCTAACAGTAAGCACTCAATAATATATCTGTAATATTGTTGTCATTGGTTTCTGAAATTTGCTATTATTGAAGTATATCAACTCTGCAATTTGTCTATCATTTCTTTCAAACAAATAGCTTGAGTACTTTTTTCAAACGTAGTGGCCAGTCTCAGTGGCTCATGCCAACACTTTGGGTGTCTAAGGAGGGAAAATCACTTGAGGCCAAGAGTTCAAGACCAGTCAGGGCAAAATAGTGAGACTCCTTCTCTACAAAATAGGAAAAATTAGCTGGGTGTGGTGATGTGCACCTGGAGTCCCAGCTACTCAGGAGGCTGAGGCGGGAGGATCACTTGAGCCCAGGAGTTTGAGGCTGCAGTGAGCCATAATCACACCACAGCACTCCAGCCTGGATGACAGAGCAAGACCCTACCTCTAAAACACACAAAAAACAACCGCTGGCGTTTTGGTGGATTTTGTCAGCTACTGCCTGCGTCCTCTGGCGAGCGCGTCTGGAGGTCGGAGCCGCGGCCTCCCACGCCGGCCTCGGCGCGGCGGAAGGCGCCAGGACCAAGGGCGCGAGCGAAGCTGAGGGCGACGCCTTAGCTTCTGGCGGAACACAACACGCACGCTCCTCACACAGCCAGCCGGCATTTGACCCCACACTTTAACCGGGCTCGCTCGCTCGCTCGTCAAACCGCGGCGGCCTCAAAGCCCGGGCGGCGGCGCCCTCTGCCGGCGGCGGCCCGCAATCGCGGGGAGCGCCCGCCCGCGGCTCCGGCTCCGGGGAGCGGCCCTCAGGCGCTGTCCGCTCCTCCCACGCCGCCGGGCTCCGGGCAGTGTGGCCGCGGCGTCTCCGCAGGGTCTCCCCGACTCGGCGCCGGGCGCGTCTCCAGGCTTTCACCTCACACTCACTTACACTTAGAAGCGACTACAGGTGGCCATCCCGTTGGCTGGCGTCTCCGCCTGCAGACCGCACCCGGCGGCGCGGGGGAGCGCGGCGCCCAGAGCCGACCGTGGGCGGCGGGCTCCCACGGGCCGTCCCCCACGCGAGCACCGGGACCTTAGACTGCACGTCGGTGCCCCGCACCCGCCGCCCACTCTCCGGGTCACCGGGTGCCCCGCACCCGCCGCCCACTCTCCGGGTCACCCGGTGCCCCGCACCCGCCGCCCACTCTCCGGGTCACCCCCTCGCCATTGCCCTGCCCTCCCTCCCTCCCCTCCCGACCCCCCAACCCCTCACTCCCCGCCCGCCCCCGCCTGTCCCCGCACTGCACTTGCCCTGACCCCTCCCTCCCCCCGCCGCGCCCCCCGCCCTCCCCCTGCCCTGCCGCGCACCTCCCCGCCTCCCCTGCCCGCCGCGCCCTGCCCGCCACCTCCCTGCCACCCGTCCTCCCCCGCCTCCCCTGCCTTGCCGCCCTCCCTGCCCTGCCGCCCTCCCCTTGCCCCGCCGCGCCCCTCTGCCGCCTCCCCTGCCCGTCCTGCCCCGCCTCCCCTGCCCGTCCTGCCCGCCCTCCCCTGCCCCCGCCGCGCCCCCCTGCCGCCTCCCTGCCCCGCCGCCCCCGCCCCCGCTGCGCCCCCCCCCGCCGCCTCCCCTGCCCCACCGCGCCGGACGCTGAAGACCTCGAGTCGGGCGCAGTGACCTGGGGGGACAGTTCATTTTGCACAGAGGCGAAGGAGCGTAAAGGGCATTACTCTGGCCAAGCAAGCTGCACGCCTCACACAGGACAGGCCCCTTTGCGCGGCAGGAAGCCTCTGCCTTAGAGCGAGCGGGTTTCTCCGTCCCGGGAAGTCCCCCCGCGGGGCTCATGCCAGCCCTTAGGTCTCAGCTCCTTCGGGGTCACTTCCTTCCTGGAGTCGGGACCGAGGCGGGCAGGGCCCGGCCACTCAGCCCGCTCTCGGGCCGCTCGCTCGCTCCGGCACAGGCCCTTTCCAAAGCAGACCTGGGGAAGCAGGGGACTGCGGGACAGGCTGCAGCCTCGCCTGACGGCGCATTCCTTCCCCTCGCGCTCCGGCGCGCAGTCCCCCAAGACACAAAGCCGTGCAAGCCTCACCGCAGATCCTCTATTTCTTGTTCAACTGTAATCTTTTTTTCGCTTTTATTAGGGGTTTTTTGGAGACAGTCTCACTCTCCCCCCACCCCACCCCCACCCGCACCCCTGGCTGCAGTGCGGTGGTCACCCAGCTCGCTGCAACCTCAAACTCCTGGCCTCAAGCAATTCTCCTGCCTCAGCCTCCCCAGAGGCTGGGACTATAGGCCACTACACCTGGATAATTTTTCTATTTTTAGTAGAGATGGGATCTCACTCTTGCTCAGGCTGGTCTGGAACTCCTGACCTCAAGCAACCCTCCCACCTCGGGGGGGTGGGCCCAGAGTGCTAGGATTACAGGAGCAAGCTACCATGGCTGGTCTATAATTATTTATTTAAATTTGGGGGGCAATTTTTAAAAGAAAAAGCAAACCTAACCCCACTAGTATTTCCTTCTTTGTGTGCTTCCTTGTAGCGTTCTGCTCTTTCTTCCAGTTAGAGAGAGAGGACTGTTAAAATCTACTGCTATGATTTTGAACTTATCTACTTTTCTTGATAGGTCTGTCAATTTTTACTATCTATATTTGGACACTATGTTATTAAATGCATGTACATTTTATTTTTTATTTCATTTTTATGGGAAGTAATATATTTATTTTCCAACTTCAATTAGGTATAACAGACAAGATTGTATAAATTTAAGATGTATAACATGATGACTTCATATCTGTATATATTGTAAGATGATTAATGCAATTAAGTTAGCTAACTTATCTATCACCTAGTTACCATTTGTGTGTGGGGTCAGAACATTTAAGAGCTGGTCTTACAGCAAAATTGAAGTGTACCATACAGTATTATAAGCTATAATCACTACGCTGTACATTAGACCCCAGTCTTACAAATGAAAGTTTGTACTTTTTGATCAATGTCTCCCCATTTCCCCCACCTCCCAGGCTCTGGCAACCCCTGTTCTATTTTCTGTTTCTATGAGTTCAACATTTTTTTTAGATTTCACATATAAGTGATATCATACAGTATTTGTCTTTCTCTATAATTATTTAGCCTAATGCCCTCTATGTTGCTGCAAGTGGCAGGATTTCCTCCTTTTTATGGCTAATATTCCACCATATATACATATATGCCACATTTCTTTATCCATTCATCCATCAAAGGAGACTTAGGTGGTTTCCATGTTTGTTATTGTGAATAATAATCATTGCAGCATGTTGTGAATAATCCTGCAATGAACATGGGAGTGCAGGTATGATTTCATTTCTTGCAGATGTGTCATTAAATACACACAAATCTTAAGTTATTATATTCTTCTTTATAAAATGAGCCTTTTATCATTCAAGAGAAATCTGCTTTATTTGTTGGCAATGCTTTATGGCTAGAAGTTTCTTCTATCTGATATTAAAACAGCCACATCAGTCTTTCTTTCTTTCTTTCTTACTTTTTTTTTAGAGACAGGGTCTTGCTCTAGAGTGCAGTAGCATAATCAAAGCTTGCTGCAGCCTCAAACTTCTGGGCTCAAGTAATCCTTCTGCCTCAGTCTTCCAAGTAGCCAGGACTACAGGCTAACACCATCATACCCAGCTGATTTTTTTATTTTTGTAGAGACAGGGTCTTGCTATGTTGCCCAAGCTGATTCTGAACTCCTGGCCTTAAGCAATCTTCTTGCCTCAGCCTCCCAAAGTGTTGGGGTTACACCCCACCCAGCCTCTTCTTAAACAGTATATGGTTGTGTTGTTTATCCAAACAGGCATTCTTTTTTCTTTTGACTGGAGGATATGATCCCTTTAGTTTTAGCATAATTACAACTTTGTATTTTCTGTTGGTTCCTGCTATTCCATATAATACATCTCTCTTTCTCTCCATTTTTGCCTTTTGGGAAATTGCTTGAGTAATTTTCACATTTTTTTTCTTTTTTAATATGGAAGCTATGCAGATTTTTATTTTAGTTGTTCATTTAAACTCTGTCTTACTTTTTTTAAAAATCCACATAAGAAATGATTGCTAGGTAGGGTCAACACTTACTAAGATTTACCCACATAGTAGGTATTTTCTTTTCTCTTTATGTATTCTTATATCTAAGCCATTCATCTGGATTCACTTTATTTCCATCTCATGAACAACCTTTAGAACTTCCTTTTTTAGCGATTGCTGGTGAAGAACTCAATTTTTTTGTTTTGTTTTGAGTGTGTCATGAACTTTGTCTCCTATACCATGTGCCCTGTGATGTTTAGAAGAAAAAACACCAGGAGCAAAGATTATTAGATAAAAGCACTTTCACTTACAGGGTTACCATTTATTAATACATTGTGGAATTGTGCTGAGACTCTGTTAGTAGATATTAATTAGTATTATCATATTGCATCTCAAGATAGCTGTATAAATAAATCAAATTCACTACAAACACATTAGTATATATATATTATTATCATGTTAAGATGTTTCTTAACTTTAACTTAGTTATAAATGGCACCTCAAATTTGCTTAAATTGGTATTTCTTTCAATTTGCACCAGGGAGAACATTTTTTCCAGGATACATATTTGCATTTGCTTTCTTATATAAACTGGCATTTCAAATTTTTTGAGGGATCTTTATATTGACCCAGACTTTGGTGATCTCTCAAGAAAATGACCACTTTTCCTTCAGATGAACATTTCTCAACGGCCACATAAACTCTTACTCAACACTCAGGGCTTTAGCTACAGGAGACAAGAAATAAGCAAAAACAGAGAGGCAGACACTTAAGTGGAAAGGAACACTACCCTGCATTGCTAGTATCACTGAGATGAAATACGCAGAATCATAAGTGTATTAAAGTTGATTGCAGATTTAATTCATTTTAACAAAATTCATTGAGAATCAATTATGTGTAAGGAACTGTTCAAAGGCAGTAAGGAGACAAGGAGCTTACCCTCTTGGGTACATGGCAGGAGGAAGAGGAGGACCTCCTAAATACAATAAAAACAGAGCTGCTCTCTGGCTCTTCTCCCAGCCCTACAATACAAAGGACAGAAATGGGAAGGGGATGGATATGGCACGACACTGACTATTTGCTTTAACAAA